CACACGGCCGCTAAATTTCAAGCAACTCCTTTATATTTTTAATTTTTCCCTCTTTTCTTTTCTCTTCCCTTCTCCCAAATTCTCTTTCTGCCTTCCCAAAATCGTTTGCCGGTGCAATCCTGCAGCCCAAAGCGAGGGAGGAGGCGGATGGTCCCTGCTTCCAACATTTTTACGAACAATCGTTAAAGAAATCAAATTTTTTTTTTTGTCTTTTTTATTTTTTTTTCTTCCCTTGTGCAGAGGCCGGAGAGGTCCCTTTGATCTGCGAGGCCTGGCGTGCTCCGAGCCCGCACGCCGGCTGTTTGCGGGGAGGGGGCTCGGCCGCCGCGGGACCCTCCGAGCCGGGACATGAAACGGGGGAAGGAAAAAAAAAATAAAAAAAGACAGAAAAAAGACCTAAAAAAAAAAAAAAGGGACGTCCAGGGTACGGGAGATCGACCGAAGGGCTTAAATATTTCATATTCCTGGAAGCTGTCAAGGCCAAAAACAACAACACGCCTCCCGCCTCCCCCGGAGTGTTTGCAGAGGGCAGGAGCGTGTGTGCGTGCGAGGGACCGGGAGGCTGCGGGGGGGCGGGGGGTAGAGAGGGTCATAAATTTTCACTTGTAATCAATCAATAATTAACTAATAGCGGAGCGTGGGCCGAGCGCGCCGGCGACAGCGGGTGCCGGGCCCGCCGGGGTGTCGGTGTCGCGCTGCCCCCCGGGCGCTGCCGCTGCCGCTCCGGGGAGCGCTCCGTGCTCCTTCCATCCCCGCTCCTTCCATCCCTCTCCTTCCAGCCCCGCTCCTTCCATCCCCGCGGGGCGGCCTCAGCCCCGCTTTCCCAGAGACTTTGGACTCGGGGCTAAAACTCCCGTGGGTTAAACTCAGCCCGGCTCCCAGCAGAGCCTGCGGGAGCTGCCGCGCTGCCCGCCCGGGGGTCGGGGTGGGGGGTGTGGGATGCTGGCTCCCCCCCCCCCAGCACGCCCCGAGTTCCCCCGAGTTCGGGGCGTTCTGTGCCCCCTCCCACGGGCCGTGGCTCCTTTCGGGGGTCTCGGGGCGCTGCTCGGGCTGCCCGAGAGGTGGCGCCGCCGCCCCGCCGGAGCCCCCCCGCCGCCGGCCACCCCCACCCAGCGCCGGGTCGCCTGCATCAGCCATAAAACCATTGAGGATATCAAGACAGGCGCCAGGTGAGTAATAGACAGGATAATCCACAGAGATTGCTCGCTGTTTACCTCCTTCCACAAGCGCCACAAGAGTTACTCATTAACGTTACTATATACAAATAAGATACACAGGAGATAAAGCCATTTGCAAGTCAGAGTTACACCTGCGGTACACGGATTTCTTGCAAGGGCATGGCGAGGGGGAGGTCAGCATTAGGCCCGTGGAAAAGTGAGGGTTTGAAGCAATCAGGCTGCACCCTCAGCCTTACAAAGAATAAATGGTGAGCTCGGGGGTTGCGGCGCCCCGGGGCTGCCGGTGCCTGCCTGGCTTGCGGGGCGGCTCCTGGCTGGCAGGACAGCGAGATGGGCAAGGGGGGCCTGGGGTGGGTGTCTGTTGCTTTCCTCCTGACCATCAGCAGTGAATTCCTCGCCAACCAGGACATTTTCCCCACTCATACACAGATCAGAGCGGCTCTCCCCCTCTAAGAGCCGTTTGGGGGACCAGCAGCTGAGAGAGGGAAAAAATTGAGGTCCCCGCGTGATTGCTGAAGGCAAAGGGATGGGGGCGAGGGGCCGGGGTCTGTCATGGACCGGAGCCTCGGCGCTGCCGCTGAGGCCGGAGCTCAGCGCAGAGGGGAAAGCGGCTCCCCGGGCGGGGATGGCTGTCCCAGGGCTCTGTCCCGCCGTCCTGCTCCCCTCGGCACCGGAGTCCCCTTCCGGGAGCGGCTCCAGCTCCCACCCGTGTGGAGGATCCGTGTGGAAAGCGGCCGGTGGGGCTGCAGCCTTCGGGCCGGGCTGCCTGCACAGCCGCTGCCTCCTTCTTCGCGTGGATTTTTTTCTTTTTTTTTTTTTTTTCATTTCTTTGGCCCGACCCGCCGCCACCTCTATCCCCGAAAGCCCCTGCTCGGCCAGGCCAGCTCAGGGGAGCATCGGCTCAAGTGACATTTCCAGCAGCCGTCACCTTGGGCCATCCGAAGAGGGAGACAAAAACTCCTGCTCAAACTCAGCCCAAACCTTTCTGCCGCTCAAACATTGTGGATTTAAACAAAACCCCCCATCCCCAAGCTGAAATGGGAAGGGTCCCGCCGTTTCCCCACGAAGGGGAACAGTTTCATGTTCGTGGGGGAATTTTTAAATTAAAAAATCGGGAAAAAAAAAAAAAAACCCAACAACCAAAAAACCCACAACTTCACGGCCACTTTTACCCCCTGGATCTCCCTTTATCTCGCCGGCGCAGGAACCGGGGGCCGCGGGCCGAGGGGCAGGCAGAGCATAAAACAGGATACAGGCTGGAAGTACATCCTTATAATATTTATTACTGGCGGACGATGAATCGCTTTTCAATATACGGGCCACTAACTGTTGAAGGGATGGGGGAAAAAAAAATCTCATTAACAAGAAATATATATGTTCTGCTAAAGGATGTGCTCATAGACTGGCAGAGGTACAGCAGGGGCTGCCAGCTCTCCTCAGCTCTCCTCTCAGTGACCTCCCAGGCCACTGGTCCAGCCTGGATGTCTGTCCCCGTTCCAGCCGTTTTCCAGCTTAATCTCGATATATCACGAGCCCAAGGGCAAAAAGGGGCGATTCCAATAAAAGGGGGGGGGGGGGAAATAGATATTAAAAACCCCATGTATTTCCAGGTGATAACTAACTGGGAAAGCCAAATCCTCTGCTCGGACGGGAGAGGAAAACGAGCCCAGCAGCAGCATCAACTCCTGAGCACTTTACCTGGAAACTTTGAAGGAGGGCTCTGCATTAAAATTTAACCAATCTATTCTCTAATTCTTCACTTTTGCGTTATTAATTTATGACAGATAAAAGCATAGCTGAGCCTTTCTCATTAACTTTTCAAACGCCACTTAATATTGTTCCATTAAAAGGGGTGACTTTAGTAGCCTCTGGATCGACTTTAAAAGCGAGAGGGATAAAGACGGAAAAGGTACATTAAACAGCTTGCTTAAAACTCGTCCTTCCCCCCCAACAATTCCAATGACACAATCTCGACTGGTTCGTACTAGCTCCTTGCAGGAGAAATATCTTAATATTGGGAACGGGAAAGGGGGTGGAGGAGAAAGGCAGAAGAGGGATATATATCTTTCAACCCCTCCATCCTCCCAGGCACTTCGGGGAGGGTTGGGGTGAAGGCATTTCACAGTACGCCCAAGACATTTCAATAAAAATTTATTGAAACTTCAGTGACTTTTAAAAGGGGGGGGGGGGGAATTACAGAAAAAAAAATAGCAAGAACTTCTCAACATTTATATAACACAAAATATACCTTCATTTTTTTTTTTCTTTGAACCAGCTCTGAGCACCTGACTTTCAACCCAAGAAAATATGCACTCACTCAAACAAAGACAACAATAAGCACAGTAGTGAAACTCCATTGCGGGGTTGTTTTCTGATGCACTGAGGAAACGGGCAAAAATAATAAAGTACAGAAAATCCTAGAATCTTCACCACTTTTTTTTTTTTTTTTCTCTCAAGCCACTGGAGAAGCCTGTTGTCGTGTATAAACATATATAATTTTGTGGTTGTTGACATTTTGAACACCGAAGAAATCGAGGATTAAAAGCTACCATGGCACACTGCTTTGTCTTTTTCTCTCTTTGATTTTTTTAAGGTCTTTGAATAATTTGGTTTCTTTCTGCTTTGCCTTTTGCATTCGGCTCCTTGACCAAAGGACGAGGTTTTCCTGGGCTGAGCTCTGATTTAGAAACGGAGCCCTCACAAATGGGGGAATTTCTCCTCTGGGTCGGGATCTATGTTTAAAGGAATTACCAACTTGAAATGAAAACGACTAAAAATAAAAACAGAAGGAAAAAAAAGAACACCGCTGCAGTCGTATTTACAGAGATATGTACAATGTCAATAAATTAAAGTTTAATTTCGAGTATTCATATTCCACGTATTTACAAGAGTTATCAAATAATTACATAAATACTTTGTTTTAATAATAGTGTCCACTCTTTTCTTCTTCTCAGTATGTTAAACCTTGTTATTGCATATACAATTAAAGAGGGAAAGCTGTGATAAATCTACAGTCGAGCTACAGAGGTTTTTAGATAAAATAAATTCACTTTTTTTTTTCTTTCCAACTACACGTCTTATTTTTGTTGCTACAAGGGAGGATGTTTAAGGTAGAGGGACAAAGGTCTTATTTTTGTTTTTATTATTATTAATAATAATTTTTTCCCTGGGATTTGAAACGAGCATTAAAAATAAACAACAAAACCCCACTGAAATAAAAAATATAACAAATATAACCACCCCCCCTCAAAAAAAAAAAAAAAGCAGACTACTCTGGAACATGCAAAAAAAAAAGCCACCAACTGGCTCTCAGACATCACAATAATATTTTAAACACACAGCTTCCCTTAATATCGACTAAGGGGGTTGTGGTCAACAACCCGCCCAGGAAACAACTGTTGAAGAACCAATACGTGAGTTAGTTACACACTTTTCTTTCGGAGAGAAAAAAATCACTTCTCTTACTTTATTTTTATTCATAAGTTTGTTTGATTTTTTTTTGTTTTATTTTTTCTTTTAGTTTTTTTTTCTCTTTTTTTTTCTTTTTTTTTTTTTTTTCCGGTGTGTTTTGGTTTTGGGTTTTATTTTTTTTTTTACACTGGTAAAAAAGAAAATTAAAGGAGGATGCCACAAACCCCACCGGTGCCTCGATCCCTGTGAGGAGCCTCCGACCCAGCGCTCCCCCATCCCCGACCCTTTTTTCCCTGCTCCACCAGATACCTTTTTGTTGCTAAACGCCGCGGGATTTTATATGTTAAAAAAAAAAAATAGAAGTCGGAAGGAAAAAAAAACCAAAATAAAGAAGGGGGTAAAAAACAAACACTCGCGGGGTGGAGGATGTGGTTTCTTTCAAACAAAGTGCACTGCGAGACGGATTTGAAATGAGCTCCCGGAGGCCGGGGGGTTACGGGGAGCCGCTGCGGGATCTGTCCTGCTTGGGGTCGAGCCCGCTGACCAGGCGCTGGATGTTCTGCAGTTCGCTGGTGGCCGCCTCCTTGTCCGCGCCCAGCTTGGGGGACAGGGACACGGAGCCGGACGAGAGCGTGGAGGAGCGGCTGGTGAGGTCCGAGGCGGAGTCCAGGGGCACGGAGCCGGGGCTGGCGCTCAGCCCGCCCGCCTTGGCCTCTCCGGAGCCGGCGGCCAGGCCGGGCAGGGCGGTGGTGAGGAGGCTGCTGCCGTCCGACAGCGGCACGGGCAGCGGGTAGGGGCTGTAGCGGAGCCGCGGCCGCACGGCGCTCAGGAACGGGTGCCGGTGCACCGAGCTGGAAGCGGCGCTGGAGGCGGCGGCCGCCGCTGCCATGTAGGTGTAGGGGTAGGGGAAAAGGCTGCCGAAGGGAGACATGGCCAGGCCCTGCGGGAGGGGAGGAGAGAGAGGAAAGGGTTACCGGCCCGCACGGCACCAGGTGCTGCCCCGCGCACGCAGCTGCCGGGGGTGAGAGCTGTGCTCCCGCTGCCCCGGCCAGAAACACGGGGGCGATGGGGCACACCCTGCCCGGGCTCTGCCCTGCGCGGCCCCGCTCCCACCGGGGGCCAAATGGCCGTGGGGTCTCTCCCCCACTCTCCCCCCGCACTGGGAGATTCTCTTGCGCCCTTTACCCGCAGGTCCAGCCCCCCCTCCCGCTCCGCAGGGCAGCCCCGGGCACATCCCCCCCGACAGCGGCTCCGCTCCGCGGGCCGGGACGCGCCCCGGGGCTCTGGAGGACAGCGGGGAGGGTGGGAGAGCTCAGGGAGATCACGCTAGGCCACCCTCCCCGCCCACAGCTTTCCCTCCTCCGACCTGCTGCCAGGCCCCGTGACCGGCCCCGACAGGGGCTCTGGGGGGGACACGGACGCGGGGAATTTCAAGGAGGTGCCCGCTGCCCCCCCCCGTCCCCAGGCTCGGAGCCCCCCGGCCCGGAGGGAACGCGGTACCTGTGAAGCCAGGACGTGCTGCTGCAGATGGAAAGGCAAAGCAGCCGCCGATGCTCCCGAGAGTCCCTGGGCCGCCGCCGTGGCCATGACCGTGTTGTCCAGTCCCGAGACCCCGGCGGACGCCCCCGAGACGGTGGCGAGGAGGGGCCCCATGCCCGCGGCCATGCCCGAGAAGGCTCCCCCCATGGCGAACTGCCCGGGGTGCAGCAGCAGCGGGTGCCCGTTCCCCAGCGGGTTGAAGAACTGCTGGCCGGCCAGGGCAGGGGGAAAGCCGAGGTTCTGCAAGTGTCCCTGGCTCAGGTGGGCCGTGCTGTCGGTTTGGACCGTCAGGGGGGTGAAGGGCTCTTTCCCCAGCAGTCGGTTCTCATCTACTTTGGGGCCGTCCCTGAGGGGGCTTTTCAGTTCTTCGCCGCTCAGGCTTCCCCCCCGGGTGCTGGAAGAGATGGTAGCCGGGCTGTGCCGGGAGTCCGGAGGGGCTTTCTCAGTCCTCTCTCGGCTCCGACTGCCTGCCGAGTCCCCGGGGAAGAAGTGGCTTTTGGAGGGGCTGCCGCCCTTGTCCCGGGGGTCGTCCCCCGCGGTGGCAGCGGAGCTGGCCGGCGCTGGGGTGGCGGCGGTGGTCGTGCTGATTTTGCCCGACTCGTTTCCTTCTAGCAAGGGATCGTCTTTGCTGTCTGCATCGCTGTCTCCCTCGCTGGGGCAGAGATCTGCAAGACAAAGGGGGCCCGGGGCTGGGATCCGGCACTGCACATCCCGAAATCCCCACCGGGCTGGGAGAGGGGGCAGAGACGCTTCCTGGCCGGCCAGAGGTTTGTGTGGAAATCCTTCCTTTTCTTTATTATTATATAAATAAATACAGCCCCCGGCTCCCACCGCCCGCCCCGTCCAAGCCAGCCCGAGTTTTTCACAACGCAGCGAATTTGGCTGCGAAACAAAGCAGCGGCCCAGAGGAGCGACCCCCCAGCCGGGCGGGCCCGGGGCCAGCAGCTCTGCTCCCCGGAGCTCCCCGGGGCTGCCGGAGCCCCCAGGGACCCCCCCTTCCCTCCCCGGCTGCAGCGGGGGTAGAGGAGGAACGGGACAGCAGCAACCTCGGGACAGGGCTGGAGGGCCTTGGGGATGAGTCTCCTACAAAGTTTTCCAAAGTTTTCATCCCTTTCAACGGGCAAACTTTGCAAAGGCTCACAGGGACATCCCGCAGCCGTCTTCATCACGCCCTAGGCCCCCCTTCTCCCCAAACACATGCACGGTTTCCCTGGATTCCTCTGCACTTCATCTCCTAATTTCAGCGCCCCAGGTGCGAAGCTCTGCTTTGCTTTTCGGGTCCCCTCCCGGCTCCCCTCCCCTCAGCTCGGCAGGCCTTGAAAAAAAACGAGTAAAGCAACTACAAAAAGGAGGTTGTTTCCTCCTCCCCCTGCCCCCCCGGCCCGGGATGGATTAATACATACGAGAGAGCTGCAGACAGCTCCCAACCCTGCACGGAGAAACCCAGGGTGACTTTTCTATAACAAAGTTCGCGACTGTATCCAGGGGAAAGATCCTTCCTCTAGTAACAGATTCAGTGAGGGATATTAATGGAGTGACTCCAGTTTTGAACTTTTGCCCCGTGGTCTGTCTTTGCTCCCTTGACTCGGAGCTGGCTCCTTTCTGAACCAAAGAGGGGAGGGATGAATGTGCAGCAAGGGGAGAGGGAGGCTGGGAGGCAGAGGGAGAGGAAGAGTGAGGAAGGCAGAGAGAGGAGAGTGAAGGGGGAGAAGGGAGGAGAGGGAAGGAAAAAAAGAAAGGAAACAAGAAGAAGAGCAAGGGAAAGAAGGAAAGAGAGGGCAGAAAAACTAAACAGAGAAAGAATAGAGAGAAGAGAGCAAAGAGAAAAAACATGAGAAAAGAAGGGAAGAGGTAAGGAAAGAAGGGAGGAAGTAAAACAGGCCAGAGCCAGAGGGCAGTGGTGCAGGCCAGGATTTGCCACCACAGAGCGGGCACCCAGGCTCTCCCAGAGGAGACCAGGGGCCACAGCTCTCACCTTTGAGGCTGGAGGTGCCCACGGCAGGCACGGCAGGACAGGAGGACTGGGCAAAGCACTTGAAGGCCGTCTGCTCATTGGACGACTCATCCGAGGTGGGATTCTCCTTCTTCTGCCTCTCATCGTACACCCGCATGGACTGCAGGGTCAGCTGCTTCCTGCGGGCACAGAACCCGCTGGGAGAGGGTCCCCAGAGCCCCCCGGGACCCCCCCTGCTCCCCAGCCCCTCCTGCAGCTCCCATCGGGGCACCAGGAGCACGGGGGAATTCAGAGCCACGGTCCCCTCAAGGAGGAGAGCGCGTTTCTGGCAGGCAGGGCTTGGCTGCTAATGAGAGGAGATTTCTTGGAAGCGTGAGCAGCTCCTCAGCGAGGGCTGATATTAAAGACAAGGGGCGGAGGGGAGAGGGAAGCATTCCCTGGAGATTAGCTTTTAAAAGGCAAGGATGTTCCAGAGATATGAGCCATCGTAATGGTTGCTAAGATTGCTAGGAAGTGGTTATTTTGTTAGGCACTTTATGTAATCTTTTCACCAACAATTAACCCGGAGTAAAAAATCTATTTATATTTAGAGAAATTAGAAATCATTTCCGTCCTGTGGCTCCAGCGCTGGCTTTATTTTCACACTGATGGACAAGAGGAGCTGGCGTGTGCATGTTTGTGTGTGTGCTGGGCAGGGAGAGAGGCTTCTTGGTTTACACCACGTTTTCCCCACCTTTTTATTTTGTTGTTTGTTTGAAAAAAGAGAAACAGATCTATTTATTCATTATCTAACCCCCTGTGCAAATGGCTAAAATATCTTGTCTCCTGTAACACAACAAAACAGACATATCCCCCATTAAAGGAAAAAAATTGTCCCTTTTTTCTCCCTGTATTTTCTCCTTATATTAAAAATAAAAGTCTCGAGTCCCATTATAAACAGTTCTGTCTGCCTACCTGGGCCACAAACTCTGTCCTGCTGCTTTTGGAAAAAATAAAGAATCTTCTATCATTAATTACTTCCATATTCATGAGATACCTCTGTCCAAACAGTTCATTTCTGTGTTTCTCCTCTATTTCTGTGTTTCTCCTCCATTTCTGTGTTTCTTTCTGTGTTTCTCCTCCATTTTACTCTTTTCCAGGCAATCCCCAGAAAAATGCCAGAGGAGATTCAAGCAGTGCTCAGCCCTCACTTGTCCCTCTTCTCCAGTCCCACATCCAAACTACACTGTAATATTCCCTCTCAAATTTGTAAGGGAAAGCTTTTCTCTAGCAATATTTGCTCAATGTACTGCACTCCCTTTGGCCAGTCATCCCCTGTGACGTGAAAACTAAACGTGGAAAGCAGGAAAGAATTCCCATGCAATCCGTTTGACGCTATTAACGCCAAGATCCTTATGGATTTTGGCGGGGGGAAGTGTGGTTTGGAGGCAAGGCAAGGTGATTTTGACCTCTGCTCGTGTTCTGAGCTTAACACATGCAAACCAAACGAGGCGCCTGTAAAGAATCCAGCCAGACTCACCTCTTTTCCCTCCTTCCATTCCCGGTGTCCCGAAAACCTTTGGCAAAGGGGTTGTTGTCAATTTTTAATTGCGTGATCTATAGGATAGAGAGAAAAAAAAAAAATAGCCAAGGGGTTGGGGCAGAATAAGGAGATTTTTGTGTTATAAAACAACAGCAAACCCCACTCTTCCCAGTTCCCCTAGTGCTGGCAGGAGTAGGACAGGGCAGGGGGCAAAGGTCCCTGGATTTTGGGTGAATCCATGTGTTTTCCAAGCTGTTTGGAGGCAGCTCACCCCCAATCCCCCACCGGGCTGGCCGGTGACCTGGACCGTGGTGGCAATGAAAGAGCCCCGTGTTGCTGCCACCACATCGGAATTAATTGAGCCATGCAATGAGATCCATGCAAGTTATGCCTGTGCTTAAAACTCTTTAAATACCATAATTAAACCGCAAAGGAATCATACCCACCCCCTCGCTATAATAAAATACTTTATATAATCGCATTATGCTCCATGTGTGTTGGGGCGCCAGGGTTGCCAGCAGCCAGCTCATATTTTTTGGGGGGTTGTGTGTGGAAGTTTTTTGGTTTGGGTTTCCTGGGGGTTCAGGAATGGCTGTTGGGAGGGATGGGGGGTGCGGGGCATCCCGCAATGCCGGGTGCCCGTGCCTACGGTGCACGGAGCCGAATTCACAGCCCGGCCGGAACGTGAACAGGATGCGAGCAGTGGCAACGGGAACGCCGCCTCCCCACCGCTCCATTCCCGGTCTCGGGCCGGGCTGCAAGCACAGCGATCCCCAATTTAGGAGCAGAGGGTGACCCCGAAAAGGAAACCCCGAGTGCGGGCAGGAGCGGCCCTGGCTCCCGAGTCACGCTCCCCGCCGCACACACGGGAGCAGGAGGGAGCAGGAGGGAGCAGGAAAACCCCACTGCTAAAACCAGCGGGACTTTTAATCCAGGTGCTCCCGGCCGTGCCTTCTGCTCCCCCCGCGCCCAGCCGAGGGCTCCCCGCCGCTTCCGCACGCCGCTTCCCAGCCGATTTCATGGCAATCACACAAATATGCTCATTTCTGTCCTTCAACCCTGCCGCCCCCAGCTGATAGAGCGGGCCGGCCAGCCCTGCTGATAAGTCCCAAAGCAAAGTCTACTCTCTGTACACCCATTTTCTTTCAGTTTCCTTGCAAGTCCCTGGCTGCAGAGAGAGAGGAAAATAGCCCGAGCCCCGAGGGGGAAGCGGTTTTTTGGAGACCGAGGGCAGAAGGGTACAGACCCCCCCTTTTCAGCCCCGATTTTTTTACGGTGAAGGATGAGAGGGGCAGAGAGGGGCACAGGGGAGCTGCAGCGAGCGGCGCTGCGCATCCAGAACCTCTGCGCTCAACGCAGGCGAACGCAAAGTTGTAATTCACAGACAACAAAAAAAATCAAAGCCCCTTTTTTGGCTCCTTCCCTTCCTTGCACTTGACTTAATAATCGTAAATTCGCCGTTTGCCACTCTCCCGAATATACCACCTTCATCGCAAGCGACAATAAACCAGCAGCAATGGAAAGGCAGCGTTTGCAGCGCTGCAAAACTTTCTCACACGGGCTTTTTCAGCCCTTCCAGCTAAATTCAAGCGAGATACCCCTCTCTGACCAGAGCATATTTCTGCACCACAAAAAATAGTAAAACACTGCAGGATGCAAAAAAAAATATCATAATATAATAATAATAGGAACCAGACGTGCGCTCCAGCCTTATTGCCAATTGCTGTTAAAGGAGCTAAAACAGCACAAAGGCCAGGAAGAATTACAAAATCTCAGCCCCGCTGCTCTCCCCACTCTGTCTTTCGACACACGGAGCCGAGTCTTTTTTATTAATTTTTTTTTTCCCTGATGCATCTTAGATTAAATCCACACTAAGAGCAGCAAACCCCACCCCATCCCTTTCCTCATACTGGGGAGGGGAAAAAAAAGGTAGAAAACCCCTAAACAATCTCCCCCTCACCCCAAGTCCTCCCTCCTTTTAATTGCCTTCCCCGAGGTCGGTATTAGGAGAGTGCTCGACCCCCTCCCCCAGCGCCTTCCCCGAAGTTGGATCAAGGAGGTTTTGGGGGAAAAGATGAAGGGGGAGAGAAAGAGAGAGAAAAGCAGGATGGGCTTCGTGAGTTTTAAGGGAACAATGCAGAGTAAAAGTTCTCTTAAAAGCCAAAACACGTAAAACAAATCCTCTCTTAATCTCCTTACCTTATCATTCTGGTATGCGGTCACTGCGATGAATTCAGTCTCCGGGAAAACGTAGGTCCTGAACGTGCTGTAAGGAAGCTTGAGGATATCGTTGGCTCGGACGATGTGGAACCGGGGCTGGTACTTGTGCATGGAGTTTAAAATGGTCTGGGGGGGGCAGCGGCCGGCAGCAGAGAGGGCAGGAGGGGGGGAAAGAAGACGGTCAGCAGGAGCAGCATTTCCCCAGCCATCGGCACTTTCTCTTGCTAATTTGCCTTCCCTCTCCTTCCTCCCCTCACTCCTCCTCCCCGCCAAGCACACTCCAAACACACGCACACGCCTCGCAGCATCCAACTGAAAGTACTGACAGCTCCAGCTCGCCCGGGTTAGGCTCTCGCTGGACCTCTCGAAGGAGAGGAGAGAGGGGGGAATCCCCTCAGAGCTCTGCTCGGAGAGGGGGAGAACCCGTTTGGGCTCCGGCAGCAATGTCTTTTGATTTCAAAGTGTAAAAAAATAAAATAAAATCAAGTAAAGCAGGAGCAGCAGCTACAGTTGCAACACCACCACGAGAGCCTCGGCTCGGTCTAATTGCGTGCCCCAATTCACTTAAGGCCTTCTGCGAACGGCAAAAATGTATCGTTTAATCAAATCACAGCAGCAAATGCAATCTTCGGCACATTAGAGATCCCTTGGCCGCGGCCACCACCAGCGAGCCCCGGCTCCGAGGCGGAGGCTTTCCCAGGAATAGAAAGAAATGGCCAGGATCGACAGAGCACTTATCAGCAGGTTTGTTTGATTTCACTCTCAGGGTAAGTTTTTATCTCTGCACACCCGGTAAATGTAAAGGAGTGGATAGACATGAATGGGCAACTTGACCTCTGCTTTTGGTCCCTGTTTATTTTCACTCCGGCTTGCTTTACATTATCCAGATTAATATAGATTTAAACGTTTGCGTACTTAGGCCTTTAAGCCCTTTATACACATATGCATATCGTTTTCCTACGCTTAGAAAGTGCGATCAACTTTATTAAAAATATATATAGATATATAAAGTCACCGCAGCTCTGAGAAATATCGAGTTGCGCTGCGCTGGAAATGTATCCCTAAAGTTAACGCTGAATGGCACGGGGAGGTTACAGAGCAAACTCCAGGCTTTAATCCTGACCCCAGCAGGAGGAAAAATCAAGGACTGTTATAACCCGGCCAGATGCCCGTCCCCGGGTGCGTGGGGAGGTCTTTCTGCCCCGTTTTCCCCTCATTTCGGCCGCCCGCCGGAGCTGCCAGCGGGACCTGCCCGGCCGAGCAGCCGCCGAGCTCCGGGCACTCCCCCCGGGACCCCCTGCTCCGGCCGGGGGCGAGGGAGGGGAAAAGGGGGGCAAAGGAAGGTGTAAAAGGCACTCACAAATCCGTGCTTGTCAGAGATGTTGTTAGTGAGCTTCAGCTTGTGAAAGGTGACGACTTTGGACATCCATTGTTCGCCGGTGGCCGGGCTGTCCGGGTGGATGTACATTCTCTTTGGCATTTCAGGGTCAGCCTTGCCGGCTACCATCCACCGGGAATTATGGAATTTGTACCTACAATCATCAGCCGCCACAATATCCATCAATAAAATGTACTTGGCCTTTTTATCCAGTCCAGTGCATCTCACTTTAAATGGAGGAAACATTCTCCTATGGGCAGAGGGGGGAGGGAGGAAGTGGGGGGAAGAAAAGACAAGAGAAAAATAAAATGAAATTAATTACAGCGTTTAAATAAGCTTCTGGATTTTGGTAGCGTGTCTACCAAGCCACTTCTTCAGCTCTCAAAAGCAGCAGAGTAAGTCTGTGTCCAGCAAAAAGAGGTTTCCTCTCCTCCGCCCCCCCCCCCCCCCCGCCCGCCCCCAGCGAAAAGGTTTCTCAAATGCTTAAAAGTTGCAGGAGAAAATGGTCCCTGGATGAGAAAGGTACACATTCCCTAGAAATCAGCAGGCGCCTACCTCTCTCTGCCATTCCTAAACAGCAAAGGCCCATTTGGAGCTCTCTGATCTCTCATTAGTTTCCTTTTTGCCTGCTAAACAAAGAAATGGGAGCTGATCGCACCCCGATAAAATAAATCGTCTGAACTATTTCAACCCAGGCTCCCGATAAAGTGCGGAGTTTTACACTTCGCAGACGAGAATAAAAAGCCCCAGCGAGGGCAGCGTGGCTGCCGGGGCTCTCCCCGTGCTCCGGCCAGCCGGGGATCCCCCCCTGTGCCCAGGGTTCTCTGCAATCCCCGCTCCCCTCCGCTCCCAGCTCCGGCTCCAAACTGCAACAGGATACCACAAATTTGCTGTTTATTATATCGAGTGGTTGGCATTCAGCAAATCTCAACTTAAAAGGAAACACATGACTTTGCAACATGTAAGAGCTCTTAATACTGGCCGAGGCTTTCACGCAAAAACTTTTGACCACAATTAACAGAAAAAACTTCGGGAAAGCAGTAAAACGGGCGAGGAGAATTTTTTTTTCTCCTTGCTGCTTTTAAGGGCTTCTATTTATTTTTTTCCCCCCGAGCCTGTAGCCTGCAACTGGTGCTTTGCAAATAGGCGAAGCTCCAGTAAGGCAGCTGAAGGCCATCTAAGAAGACTTTTCAGGAGTGGCTTCCTCGAGTAATTCTCCTGGCAAATCACATGAGGGGAGTTTGGGAGGTTTCTCAAAGAGCCCCTTAGAAAAACACCCGGGTGCAAAGGAGGTTTTCACCCTACGTATCATCACAGCAATAGGTAGAGTTGTAAAAGAGTCCAGATGTCAATGAGTAGCGAATATAGAGAGAGATTTCAGACGGGTAAACCTATAAAAAGCAGAAATGCCGAGCGTGGACGCGCCGTGTGTGTTCATTCATTCCCACGTGAAGGTTACATAAATACAGGGACAGGCAGCGCGGAGCTGCAAACCCTTCCCTGCCACTCCTGCAGCGGCTGCAGGACGGCTGGGGAGTTTTGTCAGCTTTTCTGTACATTTCCAGACATAACCAGCCAGCACAAACCCAGCCGAGGTCCCAGCACAGAGAGAGGCACAGCCTGACACGCCGAGCCTATCTGCCCTCCTGCCCCAGCAGCAGCCAGACGCCTCTCCAAAGGATTTTTCCTTCATTCCCCTTTCTTAAGGAAGAAAATCTGTGTGTAGCGAGGCTGAAAACCAGGCCATCCCCTTTGCCAACCCCAAATTATTTTCTTCCTGCTCCCAGTCTTCTCCAGCAAGCATTAAGCTACTGAACCATGAAGGGACCCTCTCACCCCCTGCACTCGCTCATGCTGAGCAGGGCCGGGTCGCGCTTGGGCTTTTCCCGGCAGCCTGGTGCCCCAGACGGGCTCGGATCTTCAGCTGCCTAAAGCTTCCCAGAACTGCAGGTGAAAGGAGATTTACGGAGGAGAGAGAGCCCTGCCCTGCTGGGGTGCAGAGACTGAGGGGTGGGGGACAGAGTGGGGGAAAAGGCACGAACCCCCGACCCAGACCTACCTTCCCGATTTGGTAATCACCATCTCTGTGCCTCTTTTATGGAATTGCTCCCAAAGCTCTTTAGCTTCCAGATGCACTTTCGGATCGTCTTCTACTTCTTCTTCTGGTTCCAGAGTTTTTAAAGGCCTCAGATGGGCTGCTGCCTGGTGACCCAGGGAAGAAAAGGGAATACCAGTCTCTGCAGCCCCCACTAACTGATCCATGATGGGTTTAGCCAGAGCCCCGGGAAGGGACAGGGCGGCTGCCCCGTTGGGAGGCAAAGCCAGAGCCGGGAAGAAGGGAGGCTGATGTCCCAGCACAGCGCTCATGGCAAAGTCCGGTGCCCGGTGCGGTAAAAAGGGATGATAAGCCATGCTTGTCCCAGGGATTACTGGATCTCTCATCGGTAAATTCATCCACTCCACTCCTCGGTCTTCCTACTGCTGGAGTAGTCCCGGAGTGGTTTCTAACAGCACATCACGAAGAAGAAAAATTAAGATAATAACAATAACAGCAATAAAGCACCAAAAAAAAAAAAAAAAAAAAAAAAAAAGGGTTGGGGGTAACAAGCTCTAAACAGCACAGTACATGAGGGAGAGGCAGAACTTCTACAGCCTACAACTTCCCGAGCCGGGGCACATCCCCAGCCCTCGGGACAGCGGATTAACAGGATTGTTCATTATTACTCTTGCTTTTTCTCGTGTTCTGTCTCAGAGGCTTTGTTTTGCTTTTTAGTTGTTTGCGTTTTTTTCCTGAGTGGAAGTCCTTGTGCTGGAAAAGAAACGCCGAAGAAGGGAAGAAAAAAAAATCCACCGGATTCGCTGTCTGCTCCTGTTGCCGCAGAAGAGCTGGACAAACTGAAATCCTTTTTTTTTTTTCTTCTTCTTTTTTTCTCTTAGTCCCAATCCCTCTTCTCTTCTTCCGTGGCGGAGGGTGACGGCTCGAAGCTGGGTTTTCTTTTAGGGTGGCTGGGTCTCTTCCCCCTCCCCCCCACCCCTCCACCTTTCCTCCGTACGGTCAGGCTGCAGAGCAGAGGCTGGGGAAGGAGGGAAAGCAGAAAGAAGCAAACAAACCCACCCCCCCTCGCCGGCCGAGGAAGGCTCCTGAGCAACCTTCAGCAGCAAAAACTTGTAGGGAAATCTCGTTTCCGCCTCGCCTTCCTCGCTCCCCAAGCAGGAGCTGGTCAGGGTGTCCTGATTTCCATCAGGATCTCTTCTTTCTTTCACCCTCCTCCTTTTTTTTTTTTAATTTATTTTTCCCCCTCTCTTTCTCTTTCGCTGTGCCTTTAAAAAAAATCTGCCAGAATTATACTGTTGTCTCCATAAAAGAGAGAGAAAGTGAGAGGGAAAGAGAAAGGAAGAGAAAAAAGGGGGAGGGAGAAAGAGAGGAAAAGAGAAAGAGAGAGAAGAGAGAGGGAGAAGGAGCCTCTCGGCTCTGAGAATTCCCTGTGAGTCTGTGCTCTGCGTGCACCCGATCGTAGGGATGTGTTATGGGTTACAGGGGAGCTGGAGCCGCCTTGATTGGCTCTTTGACGCTTTCGGACCAATTGTGAGGCTCCATAGGCGGGGTTCTGACAGCTCGGGTGGAGGGGGACAGCGCCGAGTTATAAAAAGAAGGTGTCGGAAACTGTAACGCTGCAGCAAAGCATCACTAGTACTTCGGGCCGTGTGAATATGTCAACATGATCAGAGGGGAGGGAGCAGGGAGGGAGGAGGGAAGGGGCCGGCAGCGCCCGCCTCTAGGGGGGTGCTGGGGGCCGCCTCGCCCCCCGGCCCCGGCCTCCCGCCGCCCCGGCAGCCCCGGCACTGCCCGGCCGCTCTCCCCCGGTAGGAGCTTCCCGAGCGCCGGTAGCGGGGGGGGCTCCACGCGTGGCGCTGGGGGGGTCCGGAGCTGCGTTCCCCCCTTCCCCAAACGCCGCCGGTACCGCAGCGGGGTCCCCCCGTGTCCCCCCGGCCCGGAGCCCTCTCGGGAGGCCGCCGCTCCGCACGCCCATCCCCGCCGCTCCCCGCAGCCGCCGCGCTGGTGTCACCCCCCGGCCGCTGCCCCCGCGCCGTTTGTCCCCTCCCCGGCAAAGTTGCTTTCTTTAAACGACACCTCCGGGCCGGGAGCCGGGCGCTTTCCTTCCCCCCGCGAATCTGGGGGTGAGCTGCGGGGCTCGGGGGCGGCTCTGCGGCTCTTCCCCCGCTCGGAGCTCGGCTCCGGCTGCTCCAGCGGCCGCGGCCGCCGCTGTTATTGTTGTGGTGGGCGGCTGGAGGCTGCGGCGGGCGGGCGGCGGCCGCCACTGGCTCAGCTCCGGCCCCGGCGGCTGCCGATCGAGGCGGGTGCGCGCAGGGAAGCGGGAGGCCGCTGGAAAAATGAGATTTCAATGTATTTATTATTCCTTTTTTTTCTTTCTTTCTTTCTTTGGCGTTGCCGATTAAGGCCACTCGGCTGGCACCGGCGCCGACAGGGTTACGCTCCCACACCCCTCCTCTTCCACGAGGTGCGCGGGGAGGAGACGGGAAGTGCGGCTTTCCCTGCGCCCGGGCCGGGCAGCGCCGGGCGGGGGGGGCCCAGCTCCGGGTTACCCCGGGCTCGCAAGGAGCCGGCCACCCCCTGGGGAAGGAGTCACGCGTGGGTCTGATCCCACCCCACGGAGAGGGAAGAGCCGGGCAGGATCCTCCTGGGAAGTTTCTGGGGACATATATTCCTTTGGGGGCGGTGGGTGCTGCTGGGTATGGGTGTGTGACAGTGCAGGGCAGCAAGAGGGGGCTTGGGACCGTGCGTGTCGTGGGCATGCAGGGCTCGGAGCGCCCACGCGTGTCAGGCAGGGTATCCCAGCGCTGGGAGGTGCCGAATCCCTCGCCTGCCCTGGGGAGGGAGGGGGGAATCTCCTGACGCCCCCCACCCTGCTTTAAACAGGAGGATAATCCTCCGGGAGCGGAGCGGGGGAGCGCGGGGGCTCGGCGCTGGCTGCGCGCAGATGGGAGCGGAACCTCTAAAGTGATTAGCTCTTCTAACATTGCATTTTTGACGCACATGGTTAAGAGCGCTTGGCGCCAGCTTGGTGAAGTCCCTGTAGTAACCAGCGTCTAGGATCGCTTTGCACCAAAATATCTCCCCTTTAGTCGGGGGTGGGGGTGAAAAGAGGAGGAGGGAGGAAAGGAAGCGGGAGTAATGCGTTCAAAGAGGATGAGGGGGGGGAAGTCTGATGTGTTTCACGAAGCCAGGAGCCTGGTTACCCGCGCAGCGCTCGGCTGCGCTGTGCGGCTGCTTATCGACCAAGAGAGCGAGTCTTTCCAACCTCTGCTCGGAACCGGTTCTCGGGTCCTGCCGCGGTGGGAACCCCCAAAGCCTCTGCCTTCCCTTTATCAGCGTCCACAGCAAACGCCCGGCGGCCTCAAGAAGTTTGCTGCAATTTACCCCAACAGGGCCGCCGCTGTCTCACGGCGACCGGGAGGTGCCCGCGGGACAAGCGCTGCCGCCCCCGGCCCCGGCGCGCCCCGGGCCCCGCGCCCGCCCCGCCGGAGCGCGCCCTCGGCGCCGCGGCACAAACCGGAGTCGCTGCCGCCCTCCGCGCCTGCCCCGCACCTTGCGCCGCGCTCCGCACCCACCCGCGCAAGAAAATAAAATGTTTGCCGCTTATGATTTCCAATGCCAGTGTCTAGCCTAATGGCGTGCAAACTTCCGCCAGTTCCGAGTGACCTCCCCGACGAAGCCCCCCGGAGACTCGTATTATGAAGGGAGGCTGCACTAATCTAAGATCAAAAGCGGGAAGGTGCGAACAGTCTTTGTCTCCCTTCGGCCGCCTCATTCCCCCTTCTGTGTGTGATAAATCTACCCTGGCGCCGACTGCGCGCTGGATGATTAATTTGCAAGCAAACAAAAGGGACCTGATGGCCAGCCATCTTAGTTAAATATTGGCCAGTGCTTCCAGCTACTTGTTAGCCTCCTCTTTGCCTGAAATAAATAAGCGAGGCGCAGAAGTAAATAAATAAGGAGAGACCCGCAGAAATGAATGACAAAGCGAAGGGATGGTACGGGAGTAAGAAAATAAAAAAAAAAAAAAAAAAAGAAGAAAAAGAGATCAGGGTGGCTGACGGTGAAGCGGGAGCGGGTGGAGGTGGGAATGGGGCTGGTGGCGGGGGGAGCCAGGGTGATAGCACGCTGAGATAGCGGGCTGCCCCCGCGCCTCCCGGCCTGTCTGCAGCCTGGGCTTGCACCAAGGCCGACACTATCTTGGCTCTTCAAAGAGGCATGAAAGGTCTCTGCTGTCTCCCCGGAGAGCGGCCAGGCCGGGGCTCTCTAATCTCGGAGCACAAGAGCTAAAGGCCAGGGCGGGGGGAGCGGCTCCCACCCTCCCCAGCTCTTCTTCACTCCACCATCGCCAGCACCTCGATGGGTTTTCCCCGGCTGAATCCAGACCCCGGGTCTGTGGTGGCTGAGCGGCTGGGAGAGCTCCGCTTCCTCGGATTTCACCCTCCTAAGCAACTTTTAGCGTTTGCACGAGAGCTCGGCGCTGCAGCGAGCATTCCCCGTGCGTATGTGTTGGAGGTGTGGGAGGAGAGAGGCTTTGGCTCTCTCCCGGTGGCCTGAAGAGCCAGCTGGAGGAAGGAGGCAAGAGGAAAATAAAGGCAGCCCAGCTTTCGGGCCCACACGTCCTCTCCCAGGCCTGCGGGAGCAGCTCCGAGGCGTGTGTGCGTGCGTGGAGGGGCTCCGAGTGCTCCCCGGCCTCTGCGGAGATGCGCCGTGGGTGTGTGGCACCGGGAGGGATCCGTGCCCTGGGGCACACCGCCAATCCCCGCTCCGAAGGCAGCCCCTGAGGTGTCCCTGACACCCCCTCCATGTGCTGGGTGCTCTGCAGGAAAGAACAAGCCTCGGTGCGTGGTGAGCAGGGCCAACGTGCACAGCCTGAGTGGGGTTTTGCATCCTATCTATGCATTTCCTTATCGCGCTGCCGTTCCAAGCATCCCCAGGGGCCCAGACCCATCGTGCCTGCCAGCAGCTCTGCATCCTGCAGGATTTATCCCTCTCCTCCCTCCCTTTCCCACGGCGATGCAACCTCTGCTCCGTCTCCAGCCCTTCAGGAGGCAACACCCCGGCGTGGCCACGCTGTGTTTATCCGAAATAAAGCGCAGCAGAGGGCTGGTTTACTTTGGCAGGTTTGCAGTAAATACTGGCTGGAGCACGGGGGGCATCTGGGGAGTGGTGATTACACGCTGATTCCGAGGGAAAGTGTGCCCAGCCCCGGGCAGGCCCTTCCCCAGCCCCACAAAAGGTGTCAGGAGATGGGGGCCGTGTTGACACAGATCCATCCCGGAGTGGCACTGCAGGCCACAAGCGTAATGGAGCAGCTCCCTTAGGGAGCTCGTCTATACACTTGGATTATACAAACTGCTATGGGGAGAGTGGGGAATCACTGCAGCAGTTCTTTGCC